ATTATCATGCCATGTTTAGCATTGGAAACTATAGGTATGAAATGCTTGATCATGAGATTTTGGTGCACTTGTGAAGTTTTTAAACTTGATATATATATATATATATATATATGTATATGACACATTGTGGATTCGTTTGATAATTTTTGGGAGATACTTGGGACATTGTTACTTGAGATGTGAAGATTTGACCCTCACAGGTGAGCTCGGGCTCCCCATTTGTATAGTGGCCACTAGGGTAGTTCCCAGCGGGTTATTAGTCTGGCAATAGCTATTTTTCTGGTGCACATTATACGTGTGATCATACATGTGCGAGTCTAAATTATCCCTATTATGTGATTTCAGCTTATATTTCCAAATTGACTTACATGTGTATTGTGACCTAGCTTGATTTGGATTCTAATACTTTTATCATATCATGTTTATATTCGAGATGATTTTATGAACAATTGCTTACTTGTTAGTGTGACGTTTCTTAATTTTTCATTTTTTTGTTATTTTTTTATTTTTTGGATTATCTTATTTTTGCACCTTGTTTTGCGTGCCATAACCAGTTAGCGTTCCACTGGGGTTCCGAGGGTGTTATGGGACATTCATGTGAGTTTAGAACTCTTAGAAATGTATTTTAAGTCATTTTAGCATTTTTCAGTATTTTGGTCTGGGATGTCCCGAGCGGGTCCCACGTCCTGATTTGCGTCTCCGGAATATATTTCTAGACTTTATTAAATATTTTACATGTTATTTGATGTATATGTGAGGGAATATATGAGTTTTTACATGATGATGGCGTATTTGTAGTATATATGCATGATAGGGGCAAACTGGACTTTTTGGGGGTCAAAGGTGGGCCCCTCTTTAACAACACTTGTGGTGTAAAGGGCAAGAACACCATTTTCTTCAAATTCTCTCTCCCTCCACCCGGCCCACTTTTCTTCTTCTTCTTCTTCCTTCTTCTTCCTTTATCTTTACTCATTTTTGGTCACTTTCCTGGATAATTTTGACCATGGCATAGAAGTTAAAAACTCTTCATTGGATAATAGCTTTCCATTGATACCAAAAACAACCCCATTTAACCACTTCAAATTTTCGGGTTTCTCTTTGGTGATTTGTTTTGTTGAAGCTTCAAGAACAAAGTTTTTTCCTTTTATCTTCCTCTCTCCATTGGTATAGATAGCTTGCATTTTGGTGGACATTAGCACTTGTTACAAATTAAGGTTTGGTCTTCAAAGAGGTAGAGTTGTCTAACTTGCATAGTCCTTCAAATTGGTAGCCAATTTCATGTTTTCCCCCAATTTTAGCATGCCAATTTGTAGGAGCATGCTAGGGTTTTATGTATATGATAAATTGTGCCAAATTACTAGTTGTTATGTGATTAATTGCAAGCTTTGTGAGCAAATTATAATCATTGGATGAACTATGTGATCTAATTGTTAATGTGAATGTCCATTGCTAAATTGTTGTTATTATTGGCTTAATGTTCATATATGTTGACATGCTAGAGAAATTGTATTATTAACAAATGCCAAATATAATTTTTAAAGTTGATGTTTAATTGTTAAGTTCATGTGAAGTTAAAGTTGATGTTTAAGTGTTGTTAAAATTTTTAAAGTTGATGTTTAATTGTTAAATTCTTCCTTTATCTTTACATCATTACTATACACTTTAGAGCTCATTTTTGGTCACTTTCCTGGATAATTTTGACCATGGCATAGAAGTTAAAAACTCTTCATTGGATAATAGCTTTCCATTGATACCAAAAACAACCCCATTTAGCCACTTCAAATTTTCGGGTTTCTCCTTGGTGATTTGTTTTGTTAAAGCTTCAAGAACAAAGTTTTTTCCTCTTATTTTCCTCTCTCCATTGGTATAGATAGCTTGCATTTTGGTGGACATTAGCACTTGTTACAGATTAAGGTTTGGTCTTCAAAGAGGTAGAGTTGTCTAACTTGCATAGTCCTTCAAATTGGTAGCCAATTTCATGTTTTCCCCCAATTTTAGCATGCCAATTTGTAGGAGCATGCTAGGGTTTTATGTATATGATAAATTGTGCCAAATTACTAGCTGTTATGTGATTAATTGCAAGCTTTGTGAGCAAATTATAATCATTGGGTGAACTATGTGATCTATTTGTTAATGTGAATGTCCATTGCTAAATTGTTGTTATTATTGGCTTAATGTTCATATATGTTGACATGCTAGAGAAATTGTATTATTAACAAATGCCAAATATAATTTTTAAAGTTGATGTTTAATTGTCAAGTTCATGTGAAGTTAAAATTGTGACTATGAAATATCAATGATGAATATTGAGGTATGCTTCACATTGTGTGCATGACATTGTTGGTATTGCATTGTCACTATGCATTGAGTGTGTTGTGAGAAAATGTGGAATGTGGAATGTGAATGGTGAATTTTGAATAAGTTTTAAGGAACGGTTTTTCCTAAACCCAGTAGTTGGGGAGGTACCCCTTTGTCGGCGGTGTTAACTAGTTAATAGGGACACGGGAGGTACCCGTGAGTAATTTAGTGACCTCGGGCCCCAAATGGTAGTTGAGTGTGTGTGGTATGCATTGCATAAGTCATTTCAAGCATTGTATCAGTTCAAATAGTTGACGATAGATTACTTGTTATTTGTTGATGATGTGTGGTTCCGGCATGATCCCCATTCTATTACTATATTCCTTGATGTGTCTAAGCATGCAATTGTCTACCTGATTTTAGGAGATGTCATTTAGGCAATCTTTACTGGGCCTTGTGCTCACCCTTCTACAAGGAACTGGGAAAGGAGTAATGAACGACCCTCAATTTCATACATAATGACCTTAAAGACACCTTTTGTTGACTAGAGGCTAGTTTTTTGATGTATGGTTGCATTTGATATAGAAAAGTGAATTGTAATCAAATATTTATATTTTTCCCTAAACTAGTGTTTGATGGCTATCTTTAATGTGTATTATGGATCAAAATGGTATGGAGACCATTTTGTAATTTTTTTTTTTATATTATTTATTTATTTATTTATTTTGTGGTCTCCTTAGGAATTTCTAATCCATTGATGTAATTTGAAATAATGTAATCATATTTATTTTATTGCATGCATGTTAAATTGTTGTTACTTTTATATAGATGCATGATGATTTGTATAAGTGCTTCGATTGATGAAATGCATTGGCACTTAATTGTTTAAGCATGCTTACGAGTTAGGATAAGACCCGATTAGCGATCTGGACCCCCAAGTTTGGGTCGTTACAAAATTGGTATCAGAGTAATGATTCAAAAACCATTAGGACGATGGGTATAGGCTTACCTAGAGTAGTATCGAGGTTGATTTGTAATGTTTACGTGCTTATGTGTTTTGTGAGTTGAAACACATGCTTACTTGCTTATGTGACTACGTGTTTAATTGCTTAAAGTTGATGTCTACTTGTTGCATGAACATGTGTGTTAAGTGTTTATATGATTTTGTTTCATTTCTTGTCGAGTGAGTCATGTGTGGCTGTCATTTTCGGGCGGACTATTTAGTATCATTGTCATTTATTCATTTTTTCATTTTATAGCGTCATGCCACCACGACCTAGAACAAGAGGTTATGTTAGGGAGAGTTCTAGCTCCAATCCCATGGAGCAAGTTGATGAGGAGACACTTCTTAGGCACTTGGTTCCTCCGAGAGGTGCCCCCGCTAGAAGGGGTAATGTTTGGCACTCGTTAAAGAGGGTGAAGGTGCGGCTAGACAGACCCTAACCACACTATTGCAAGATGTATTGCAGGCTACGGTTGCTACTGTTCCACAACCGGTGCCCCAACTGGCGCCACAACCGGTAGTTCAACCGGAAGAGACGAAGATGGAGAAACGTCTCAAGCTCATTTCTAAATTTGTCAAGTTGATGCTTGTGATAGCCCTAATTCTCATAACTCGGTGTGCCAACGAGTAACCCGAAACTGACCTGATGATGGATCCCAAATGCGGAAGTGAACAAAAGCAAATGGGTCTCTAGAAATGTATATCATCTATAAGACGCCAATGTGACTTCCCATGAAGTCATGAAACTAAAAAGAACTCAAAAGTAGAAGCTAGGGTTTTAAAATGGGCAAAGTGAACCAATAGGGGTAAAATGGTCATTTCAAAAATAAATGGATGGAACCGTGCATACCATTGGATAGACAACGAAAAATTAATTAATTTGGACTCAAAAATCATCTGATTTGGAGTTAAAACGAAGAAGTTTTACAAAAAAATTGCCACGTGACCAGTACGATCGATCGCAAAAAGCTAGGATCGATCACAAAAAGCTAGCAGGGGCGGAGCCAGCATTTCATTCCAAGGGGGGCATAGTGTATTTGATAGGAAAAAATCAACGGCAAAAATATAATTTTCACATAAAAAAAGAAAAAAGAAAAAACAAACAACAACAACATAGCAAAGTCAGTATTTTCAAAAGGAAATATAGAATTAGTATCTAGTTTAGTATCTATAATCATTAAAAAAAAAAATAAAAAATAAAATAAAGTAAAATAAAACAGAGCAAAGTCACTATTTTTAAAAGACAAAAAAGGAATTACCTGGCAAGGTGAGATACTGGATGAACTAGGAGTCCAGGAGCCATTCCAAAGCAATCATACCCACTCTTTGAGTCTCCAAGCACATAGTGAATCTTGACAACCAAAGCAAACAAGATTGTATTTTATTATCTTTATCTTAAACTAAGATGGAAACTAAATGTTCTTCAATAATGTGAATTGAAAATCCCATAAAAGAATTTATTTGTTTATCTAAAGAACTAAACATGTAACAAGTTGATATGATATTTAAATAAAAAGAACTAAAGTAGAATACTTGACACATATAAGATCCAAAATATTGATTTAGAATATTTCATTGAATACAATTACAACTGCCCTCAACGGCTTTTCATCTTTTGAAAGCGTTGAATGATAGCTTCATTATTTATGCCCTTAAATATTTCTTTTTCAATATACACAACCATGCTATTATTCATAAATTAATCTCCTATCCGATTACGCAATTCATTCTTTACAATATTCATAGTAGAAAATGCCCTCTCCACCGTGGCAGTAACGACTGGTAAGATTAATGCCAATGTCACAAGTAGATACACCAATGGATACACCTTGTCTTTTTTTGTTTCAACCATTTTTTTTGCAAGAGCGAAAATCCCTTTCAATCCTTCAAACCTGATATTAAAGCACACATCAAGAATATAAGTTTCAAGTTGACAACCAAGTTCTATGAGCTTGGCTGCAGAAAATTCTTTTGGATAGTATTCAGCAAAACGAGTGATCTTTTGCTTGTCAAAAGCAAAGAATGCATCATCTGGACATAGACATGCCACACAAAGAACTAACTCAGTATTGGCTTTATTGAAACGATTATTTAGCTCTTGAAGTTGCATATCTATGACAGAGTAAAACAACTTAACACGATAGTAATGCAAGTTTGTCATTTCTTGCACATTTCGTCATCGTCGTCCTTGAGTAATGAACATATCATCCATGTTGGGAACATCAATCTCATGTCTCTCACAAAAGGAAGAAACTTCATCAAGCAAAGAATCCCATCCATCATCCCTCATTATTTGTAGTCGTTGCTTACATACTTTGACAAGCTCTATGGCATTCACGATATCTTGATCTTTTCTTTGTAGTGCTTTGGATAATTCATTTGTCATGCCCAACAATGTCTTCATCAAATGGAGATTGAATACAAAATTAAAGGATTGTATTGACCCAAGTAGAATAGATGCTTCACCTCTTTGGTCAGATTTCAATCCATCATTTTCGATAAACTCACGAACAGCAATTACAGATGAGAATAATGTAATTAAGCTAATTAAAGTACCATAATGTGAGCCCCAACGGGTGTCTCCTGCACGTACAAGAAAAGCACTCTGATTTAGGCCTTACCCACTTCTGAGCTCGCCTTTGTTAAGTCCATCAATAACTTCAGCAATTTGTTTCTCGCGAAGCATATCATGACGTTTACATGAGGCTCCAACTATATTCACCACATTAGCAATAAATATAGAAAAAATGGAAATCTGGCCATGATTCTTTGCCACAGCAACAAGAGCTAACTGAAGTTGGTGAGCAAAACAATGAACATAAAAAGCAAATTCATTCTCTTTTAGAATAAGCGTTTTGAGACCGTTGAACTCACCTTGCATATTGCTAGCCCCATCATAGCCTTGCCCACGCAATCTAGAAATGCTCAATCCATGTGTAGAAAATACATTATCAATCGCCATCTTGAGTGAGAGAGTAGTTGTATCGGTAACATGTACCATACCAAGAAAACGTTCAATGACACTTCCATTCTTCACGTAACGTAACACAATAGCCATTTGCTCCTTTATCGATATATCACGAGACTCATCAATTAAAATAGAAAAAAACCCATCTCCAATATCTCTAATAATAAAATTGACAACCTCTGTTACAATGGCATTTACAATCTCTTTTTAAATCTCAGGTGATGTTAACTTCATATTTTCAGGAGCATTTTCCAATACAATGGCTCTAACATCCTCATTGTGACGAGAATGAAATCTCAAAAGTGTGAGGAAGTTCCCCTGTTGTTTGAATATTCAGATTCATCGTGCCCACGAAAAGCAAGTCCTTGGTGTAAAAGATATCGGATACATTCAATTGATGCAGTCAAACGAGTCTGATATTCATTTCTAGATTGGTGTGACTTCTTGCATAAAATTGTTTGAATGTGTTGTTTTTGGTTCACTAAAGCTTCACATGATCTCCAAGCTTGGTTATGGGCACTATTGGGACCTTTAACAAGAGTTTGAAAATTTTCTTTTTTCTTTCAATTTGAAAACCCCTCAACCACAAAAGATTCACCTCCTACTTGTTCTCCAATATCTGGCTTGAAAAGATAACAACATAGGCAAAACGCTGTATCTTTGGTTATACTATATTCTAGCCAATTAGAATATTCACTAAACCAAGCAGGGTTAAAATGGCGTGATGCTTTCCCAAAACTCGTATAGAGAAAACGATGAGTCTTGGGTTGACAAAGACCCTTAAGACATCTCGAATATTATGATGGTAATCTAAGATTCGAGTTCGTAATCCACGATCCGCCGAAAGATTTTCCAAGTTGATGTCGAAACAACTTTGCTTCAATATTCGATCATCATCTCTTTCTATAGGAGGTGGCCGAGGTGCCAACCCTGATTTTCTTTTATAAAATTTCTCCATAACTGTTTAAAATAAAAAATAAAAAATGCTTATTTACATATAATAATTAAAATGGACATTTCAATCTTATTAATTTTATTTAAACCACTCAATCTTTTCATTTAGAATGCATTAAAAAATATTAGAAAGTAAGTGCTAACTAGTAACTACATAATAAAAATTTAGAAAAAAAAATGCCCAATTTAAGTGACAATGATTTAAGCCAACCTTAATATCATGATCAAAATTAGAAAATTTAAAAAAATCCAAAAGACATAATAAATAAAAAATAAAAAAAAATCCCAGAAAAATATTTGAAAAATTATTAAAGGGTTGTGCTGCATAACAAATTAAAAAACTAACTTTTAATTACTCAATTTATCTATCATATTCATCAAACAAGTAAGATAAAAACTAAAATAGATCATCATTAGAACAGGACAGAACAAGAAATCAATCTGGGATGATCCAAGGCTCCAAGCCCCGTTACTGGAAAAACAAAAAATCAAGTCCAGAACAAGAAAACTTCTTTCAATATCAAACAGCCCAGGTTTAAGTACCTAATTCATCTTATTTTCTCCTAATTCTCAATTTAGTGTTAAGTAAATACAGATCATCATTCATCACAATAATGCCAAATGCAACTATTTGGCTATGTTGAGATATGTTGGGCTTTTTTCTTCCTTTTCCTCTCCAGCCCTCCACCCCAATAGAGAAATGGTTCAAAAAAAAAAAAAAATTGCATAAAATCAAAACCTCCAGCTGTTGATCAGCAAGTTCCTATTTGCACTTGGAACAAAACTATATTGGCATCAAACTTGCGAACATCTTCAGAGGGTAGTGGGAATTCTGGGTATGCCATGTTTTCCTCAAAGTTTCTGAGAATCTGATTCATGTAAAAAATAAAAATAAAAAACTAGGGTTTTGGGTTTTCCAGAAAATTAAACGTTGAATCTACAGCAAAACAAATTGGGTATCCTTCCGTCCAATTCTAAATCCATCGCAAACAATGGAGATTTAAAATCTGAGCATAATGATATGCATAAGCAGGCTAAACAGCATAACCATGGCGTGACTTTTGAGTCCAAGCTTCAGCTTTTCGTATCTCACTTTTGTGCAAAGAAACTAGAAAGTCAGAAGACTTTATTTAGTTCCACACTTCCACCGTACTTGTTATTTGCTTTTTGTCTTATTGGTCTATATTTGGTACTTTGTTTGGGCTTTATTTGGTAGCACTTTGTAAGTGAATGACTTAAATGAGCTTGATTCACTAAAGTATTACTAATATATGAGGGCAAAAAAAAAAATCAGGGGGGCATTTTTGGACTTTTTAAAAAATATACATATACTATTAAAAAAAAAAAAAAGGTCAAAGGAGGCATGTGCCCCCCCTGGGCACTAGCTCCCTCTGCCCTTGAAAGCTAGGATCGATTGTAGATTGCAGAGAACTGAGATGCTGCAACTGTGTTTTTTTATGAAACGTGCAATTTTCAGGGCTCAAATAAGGTTTTTTGGAAAAAGTTTGTGAAACCCCAACCCCCCCCCCCCCCCCCCCCCCTAAAAATGGGTTTTCTAATCAACCATGATCCGAACTAAAAATAAAATGCAACATTAAATACCAAAAATGCCCCCAAGATAAAATAGGTCATGGATGCAAAAACAGGCTGAAATTCAACATACATTCCTTTTCATCAAAAGAGCTTGGCCCTTGGCCCCATTACATATATATTGAAGTCACATCAAAATAAGGTACATGAGTTCATATTACACCACAAAAAGGAAGCATGCTACGCTTTTAAACAAGTCATACATTACAACTTAAAAAGGGGTATCAAGACATGTTAACAGTTGCATGCTTATTAAATCAAAAGCATCCACTGCGCCAAGCCATATAAGAGTCTAAGGATGTTGTCCATCCATGAATAGAACTTCTTTACCTAAAAATAACCCAATCAACTAGGGTGAGTAAACAAGTTACTCTGTAGGATGAAGCGAATATGTATACCATAAAGTTTCAACGGTTCTTTGCAACGTAATATAATCAACACATGTAGATCATGCCTCCTAGCATTTAGTTCCAATGGAAAAGCTAAGGTATCATCCTAAGCTATATATAAACAATATGAAAACAATCAACAAAGGTAAAATGTACAACATTATTGGAACTTCCAATGAAAATAACAAGCTACAACTTCAAAAGTAATGTCAACTTATAAATGAACGCAAAGTCAACAATGTGGAAAACTTGGACATGACATTCAGTTATGAACTTCACAACGCAAGACAATTGGTTATTTTGGGCTAGTCGCCCGCATGAACCACCAAAGTGCGCACTACAAGATGGGGAGAACTCGTACTTTCCGCACAAGGGCCTTACCCTAGCCATATTAACGTAACTATGCCCCAAGTATTTCCAAAATCAATCAAGTAAGTCACAACTATCAAATAGTTATATAATGCATGTAGTCACCTTCCACACACATCCAATTTTGAATTTCACACAAGATCTGCCCTAAGTTCTCAAGCTATAATGAAATACTCAATGTCAAGATCATAAGGTGTGTACAACAACACAATTAATAGGTTATCAACATAGGAATTCTAATCATACTCACATGATATTCATTAAATCCCTAACTCAACAACCACATAGTTAAATATCACAACATAAATAATGACAATAGGAATCCTCGAACATCATAGTAACAACTACAAGATAATACATGATTTCCAACTTTCACTATGTACAACAACAACATAAGAGGAAAACCACATATAAGCCTTGCATAAAATGAATCCCTAGGTTAGATATAATCAATATTCATCTAATACAACCCTAGAACTTCATATTACATACATACAATGTATATTAACAACAAGGAACAAATGATACAACAAAAGTATAAACATAAAGCAACCCCTACCTCACTAGAGGAATGTTCCTCTAGAATCTAAGGCAAATGGAAGCAAATCGAAAAACTGAGCAAAGATGTTGTAGATATTGAAGAGAGGAATATTTGATCTTCAAGGTGGAAGGCCAAATTCCCAAGGGAAGGATTTCAAAAATCTGAAATGGAGGAGAGGGTTTCAAGGTCCTTCAATGGTGTTCTAGATGAGAGGTTAGAGAAGATGAAAACAATTCCTCAAATTCCTCCACTAACTATAGTCTTTGATAGTCAATTACACTACACCAATACTACCTTTCTCACACACACACACATCCACCCTCCACTTGTCATGATTAAAGGTCTTTTCACAAGGCTTAAGCCTACACTTGTCACTAATCTAAGCTAACAAGTACACCAACCAAAAGTTCAAATGTGGGTGAATCTTCACCCTCCACTTGTCACCATCCTAAGCACTGTAATGACCCGGTCCTTTTCATTCCTTTCCCTTTCTTCAAATTTTGCGGATAAATTTTTTCCGTTGTCTTTTCTTTTTTTGGGTTCAATTTCTCGCCTCTTAGTGTCATCTCAAGTGCTCAGAAATGGTTTCTGAGACTCTTTCCTTTGGATTGACAACTTCCTTTGAGGACTGAGTCATTTCCACATTTTTCATTTTTCGACACTATTCATTTTTTTGTCCCTTTCCCTATTCAGTCCTTTTCCCTGTTTTGTCTCTTCCCCGTTTGTCACTTTGTTGGCACAACCTCACATTTTGTGCTCGGAGTTTATTTCTAACTTCACGTACCTTCGTCGTAAGTGGTTTCCTCAAAATACGTATCTTCACTTTTGCAGAAAAGTACTCTAGTTACTCCCGGTGTCCATAGGGGCATGGATGCATAATTTTTCAGAATCTTTTTCTTTTCTTGGGTTGTTTTTTGTAAATATCTTTTGAAGATATTTTATTTCAGGGGTTTTTAAGAAAATATTTTTGGAAGATATTTTCATTTTAGGGTAGTTGTGTAGTTTTCACTTTTTGGAGCGGTCATTGTGCAATTAACGAAAGTTATCGCAAAATACCTCGTCTGGAGCCTGGATCCCCGTATGGGATTCATTTTCACATTTCGTCTAGTCATGTACTCTTAGAATTTCCTTCTGGTCATTTTTCTCCAGTTTCAGGGTTTTTAGCCCCGGTTGCCGCCGAACTTGTTCGAGGCATATCTCTCTGCTCAAGACTTAGTTTTTGACGCCGTTTCTTCCGTTGTTCATAT